TTGTGTGTGTGTGTGTGTCTGGGTACACAGTAAACACTCGCCGGCTTCCTGCATGTGCAAAAAGTCCCCCCCCCCCCCCCCCCCCCCCCTTTTTAAAACAACTTCAAATCACTGACTGACATGCACACAGCCCCAGACAATACGGATATTTGAATGCCGAATTCCGTTTCCATGGCAGTGCGGAGGAGGATGACAGGAGTGACATGAAGCACATGCAGAAAGCCGGCGAGTGTTTACTGTGTACCCAGACACACACACACACACAAGAGTAAGCGTGTGGGTGTGCCTGTCTGAGGGCGTGCGGGAGTGTGTTTTTGTCTTGATGGAAATACAACAAAAAAACCAGCACGTCGGATAGTCCACCCTGCTTGAGGATTGAATCGCTCTCTATCAATTTCTTTCCATCTCTCTCATATATATTCACCTGCAGAGAGAGAAGCAGGCAACTGTTTGTCTGCGTTTTCTGTCTGAAACCCAGCCCGGCCGTCCACAGTTACTCCTCCTGACAGTCCTCTTTGAACAGTTACAGCGGGGGTAATGTTTCTACAGCTTTTCAGGCACAGGCATTTTGTGGCTATGTCTGTCTTTTTTTTTGTTTACTAGGCATGCCGCTGTATCAACACACAGACAGGCTCCACACAGCATGCTTTTAGAGGCAAAAATATCAACATCATTCTAGTAGCTAACAAAAATATGACTATTTCGATCAATTCCTTGTTGCATTCTAGTGGATGGGTATACGGGAAACTACAATGGCTTGCTATGGAAAGGTGTCTCAGGCATTATATTGCCTGTTTTGTCAATTGAGAGTGTACCACAGACGATTGTAAATAGCAACTAAATGATTGCTTTTTTTATTTCAATTCAAACCTTTGGCGAGGGGGAGGGAAAAAAAACAAATCTACAGGGAAGGCTTCCTTATTTGCTTAATCCATTCCCCAGGGAACTCTTTCTGTGATTCACTGATGAAGGATGTCTGCTTTTGGTTAGCGGCTTCCTTCCATGCTGCAGCACCTTACCCTGGCTCCTTACACATTCACAGTTTGTTCCAAGGCGATGCTTAGGGAATACCTCCACTGCTTGTGCTTGCAAAAGACAAAAAGGAAGAAGAGCAAGAAAGAGGGGAAGGGAAAATTAATTCAAAGTTGTTGCCCTCCTCTCTCATTTTTCCTCCACCTCCATCTGGAGTGGAGCCGAGTGTGTAGCATAAGCCGCGATGGTTCTCCCCTCAGGCTCGTCTCCTTTTTAGCCGTAGTGTACAGAGCGCTGCGTTATTACACATAGTCCTGCAGGCTGTAGCCAGTCTTGTTGTCTAATGGGGAGAGAGAGCAGTACTGGTGCTGGAGCTCCTGCTGGAGCAGCTGTTGCTGCTGCTGCTGCTGCTGCTGCTGCTGGAGGAGCAGTTTGTCTGGGGGAGGGAGCAGGATCAGGTCTTGGGGGCCATGCCTTTTACCCGAGCAGGACATACAGAAGATGGACCCCCCGACGAAGAGGAATCCTGCCGAAACGAAGGCTACGTACACGGCACCCCCAGGCTCAAACTTATTGCTCTCGGGCACATTAGAGTCCAGGAAGTTGGTGATGACCTCATTGGTAAACCAGGAAGCGGGCACCAGACACAGAAAGCCGGCCGCGACAAAGCAGCCGCCGCTGGCAATCGCAGCGTGCCGCTTGGAACGCCGTCCGCCTCCCCAACGCGTGCATTTTAGTCCCAGGGATGCCAGGCAGAGGCCCATGGCAGCCATTACGCAGCAGAGCACCATGGTGGTGCGGGCAGTCTGCAAGTACGCAGGTAGGGAAAGCACTGAATACTTAAGTGTGCAACTGAACATGCCTGTGCTGTACCATGTGCAGTCCATCCACAGACCCTGCATCTGGGAAATCGCCGTGATGATGTTGGAGCCCACATCTGCGCTGACCTTCCAGTTAGGCAGCAGCGTGGCCACCATAGCGCCCATGATGCCCAACAGCGCGAGGACAAATCCAAATATCTGCATGCCCGTGGATGCCATGCTCCTTTTCGAGTTGATGGCGCCGCCGCCGCCTCCTCAGCGCTTGTCCTCGCCAGGCAGCATTCACCCACAGCGCCAGCCAGGCTCGTCGACCCCACTGCCCAGCCGCCTCTCTCCCCGTCCTCAGTGGTGTACCAGCTGCCAATCAAATCCTCAGCTCCTCAGCTGCAGCTCCACCGGACTGGAGGAGAGAGACGGAAATGAGAAATGGAACTGAGTGGGTCCCCCACGCACACTCCCTCTTTCTTTTCTCCCCTCATTCACCCTAACACAAGCGCAGACTTTTTCTGGCTGGAAACAAAGGGCAGCACGAAGCCCGGGCGATGAGCGCTGGCTCTGGCTGACTGTAAAGTAGGTAAGACAAACACTGAGCTTGTTGTGCATGTGTGCATTATCTATGTGCTGCCTTCTTCTCCTTTTCATTACCAGAGCCCCATAGAGCTGTTACTGGAGAGGGAGAAATGAGTTTGTGGTATTTGCAATGCTCAATAGCTATGTGGACTTAAAGCTGCAGTGCCCTCACCCCACTACTGTATATTCTACCACTTTAATGTCACTGCTGTTTACCTTTTTTAACAGTCACACAACGTTATCTTAAGGTAAAATACCAGTTTACTCAAATTTTGTCAGCCGCCAGAATTAAACTTCACCAGTTCTTTTTATTATTATTATCTAGTGGGACTTCCCAGCCGGCGCATTGTGATCTTTACCAGCTAAATAAACAGGTCGTTCCAGCTTTGAATGAATAATCTCGATGTAGTTGTTTGCTGTTGTTTTATGATCCAATGAGGAGGAGAAGAAGAAGAAAAGAAGCGATGTTGAAATAATCCCTTACCCCGGCTGGTGCAGAGCTGGCGCGGACGCGTCACGTTGTTCGCAGTGATTCCTGTAAACACACACAGTCACACGCTGACAGACAGCAGGCTGGTGAGGGGGACAATTCAGCCCGGATCACGGATCCATTCAAGCCATCCATGTCCTCGGCGGCAGTGTATGAGAGGACATCCCTGCTCCGTCAACCACACAGGCTTGGCCGGAGCCTGGGAGAAATAACCGTAGCGCTCTGGCACCCTCTCTCTCTCTCGGTATCTCTCCCTCCCTCCCTCCTCGCCGGTGTGTGTGTGAGTGTGTGTGTGTGTGTGTGCTGGAGAATAGCGGTCTCTGCCTCACAACAACTTTATAAACGGCTGAACGAGACTGTATTGCGCTGGACGGCTACTGCACATCCGCCATGACAACAAACTAAACGTTTACGCGTTTCAGACAAACTGAACTGTTAGCTACTTTTAATTAACACTAGCGAAGAAGAAATACGTCCGTCGTAAATAATCTGAATATCGGCATACCGGGTAACAGATGTGGTAGTTTTAGTTAGCTAAGGCTAAGGTTATTCTTTTGGTTAGATTTCATGTAGAAAAGTCAGTTCGTCTAAACTACAACAATCTCACCTTACTTACCTCTAAATGTGTGTATGCTAAACGCGTTGCTGGTATTTGCTTTTGTACACTTTTGTCCAATAATCCCCAGAATTCTCTGTAATAATGAAAACAGTTCACAACTTCCCCTCAAGGAAATAGTTCCTATGACAATAATTGTTTAGGCATTATTGTTTACACATTATTATTGTAACGATGAGATACATTATTTTAGTTCTGTCATTATTATGACAGAACCGGCAACATTCATAATATGCATGACGTTTGGCAGAATGGTATTTGTTGCTTGAACAAGTAGAGAGTATAAAGAGCAACATTATTTGTTTCTTAAGACTCTTTTAAGGATGGAGACAATTTTTTTGCCGTGTAAACTAACTAAATTATAATAAATACGTTACTGAGCAGCATTGAGCTACTCGTAATGCAACACTGCTGTTTTTAAAAGATAAGGAACGGCCAAGATGCAAAGTCTAGATTACGATTCCCAAACATAGCCCACAACACAACAGGGATGGGAAATCTAATTAAGACAGAAGAAAAATCTGCTATCATTTTGACCAGACGAGCCGGTCCGAGTTGCGTCGAACGAAGCTTTGTTTGGGCATGTGTTGGTCCAGAGGAGCATGTGTACCCAGCCATGCCAAAACTGACCCTCCCTGGGGCATCGTCTTCGTCAGGCATCAGTCAGTAGGAGCCTAAAACTCACAGCTGCTACCCTGTCTTCCCTCGCCTCTCTGTAGAGGGCATACAACAAGGGAGGGAGTGGCTAGGGTGGCCTTGATTCATGAATGACAAAGAGGACAAAATGAGAGGGAGAAAAAAAAAATCAGATGGGACTAATAGACCTGATAACCTTGGAAATGCAGATGTGTGTTGCTATTATTTTTGCTGCATGGGCAATTCAGCAAAAAAGAAGCCAGCTGCGAGAAATGATTTAGCCTATCCCCCAGTTACAGTATAACGACCAGCCATTGACCACAATGATGTGGAGCCATTACGTGGAGATAGGTTGGTAGCAATTGATTTGTTTAGCTATTGATCTGTTTGTTTAATATGTCCCTGTGCTTTCTCTATTCATTATTTTCCCTGTGAACTACCCCGAAGAGACCCTCTCTTAGAATTAGATCTGGCCAGCATGTGGTGGGGGGGTGCACACCACATTACCTCCAGTGTGATGTTGGTGTCGACCTTCAACACTACATTCTCTGGGCTCCTTGAGGGATGCTGCTGCAGTGCGAAGAGAAATATTCCAGTTTTCCACAGACGCACCACAGCATGGTGTGTGTGACCTGTCTCCTTGTAACCGATGAGATCCTAAGTGCTGATGCCGGTGCTGTTCTGTGGGGAGTAAGATAAATAAATAAATAGATCATGGAGTGAGTGGATAAAAGGAGAGAAAAAGATGGAAGGAGAGAAGAGCAAAACGCAGTTTACATAAGCCCGGTGAGTGCAGATGTGTGACGCGGTGATGTATGAAGATATTGCAGGCTATTATAAGCGTGGTCCCCTTTATTTTATCACCTCACAGCAGACCTCTTTAGCCTTTTAGCAGCATAGCTCTGAGGCACAGCCGGACCAGCTACGCTCCTTTCGCCCACACGATGGGCTTTTATTGTGCAATTTGCATTTTCCCCTTTTATGTCCTCCCTTGTGTAATTGTTTTTTTTTTCGTGCTCTATCGTCTTGCAAAGGCGGTCTGTTCACACAGCAGAGATGCAAGGTGTTGTGTGATAGCTGTGATGTTGCTGTCAATGCAATCTTGTTGTGGAGCAGGACCCGGGTCCAGTTTCACCACCGATAATACGTGTAAACCTGTCCGAGGCAAAACACTTGTGACATGTTGCAAATTTACCGGCATTGGCTTGATTTAAAGAGTCTCTTCAGCTTACTTCATTAAGACCGACTCCCAAGCGAACAATGTTGAATGTTTGAACGTCACATGTTTGGGCAAAGTTCAAGCTTTGCTTTGACGAAAGAGTCTCTCCAAGGAGCTGATCTTGTCAAAGACTTGGGCTACGGGTCTTGCGTGTCCTGTGTACATGCCATGGGCGATTTCATGGGAAATACACTTGGCTGCTTGCACAGGAAGCCGAAGCCCTTCCTCCCAAAACCCCTCCAGCAACATCAGCCTAGTATATTCAGCGGCATTGACTGCTGCCTTCTCCTCTCCGAGAGGCTGTCTCCCTCCACTGATGTAATGGAGGTTGTCTTCTCAAGGTATTGTCATGATTAATGCAGCTCTTCCTCCCCTTTTGGAGGATCGCTGTGAGCTTTTCTCGCTTGTATTCCCTGGCTGTATTTAGCCTTCTTCC